TTTTTCACTGAAAGGGTTCTCAGGCATTGGAATGGGCTGCCCAGGGAGGTGGTTGAGGCCCCATCCCTGGAGGTGTTCAAAAGCCGGGTTGATGTAGTGCTGGGAGGTCTGGTTTAGTGATGATGCTCCTTGTTTGTTGTGTGGGTGTCTATTTTTGTCAGTGAGGTTGACGGTTGGACAAGATGATCTTTAAGGTCCCTTCCAACCTAGAAGATTCTGTGATTCTGTGAACATTGACTGGCCTTGACTGGCCTTTTCTGCTTCTCCCACCGCCCTGTCAGCAGGTAGGGAGCAGAGGGGCACAGAGGTGGGAGGGGACACAGCCAGGACGGCTGACCCCCACTGAGCAAAGGGACATCCCATGCCGTATGGCATCATAGTCAGTATATTGAGCTGGGGGGAGAAGAAGGAAGGAGGGGATGTTTGGAGTCACAGTGCTTTGTCTTCCCCAATCCCCATTACCTCTGCTGGAGCCTGGCTCCCCTGGAGGTGCTGAGCCCATGGGGAGCAGGGAATGGATTCTTTATCTTGCTTTGCTTGCGTGTGGGGCTTCTGCTTTATCTATTAAACTGTCTTTATCTCAACCCATGAGGGTTCCTTATGTTTTTGTCCAATTCTTCTCCCCATCCCACTGGGGCCATGGGATGAGAACTCGCTGAGTGGCTGTGTGGTCCTGGCAGCTGGCTGGGGTTAAACCATGACATAGTGTTCAAGGCCAAGTTGGACAGGACTTGGAGCAACCTGCTCTGGTGGGAGGTGTCCTTGCCCCGGGGCAGGGGGTTGGAACTGGATGGTCTTGAAGGTCCCTTCCAACCCAAACCATTCTATGCCATCTATTACTGATGAGATGTGATACACAAGGGCTAGAGATGTGCAGTGCTGTAATGGCTGAAATTCAGAGAGAAACTGCAAATATTACAGTGTCTCACATTAAGCTCAGTATTAGTTAATAAGGAATACTGCCTCATTTCTCTCCCTGAGTTTTCATTCACACATTGCCTTCAAACACAAAGGAGCCTTCTGGAATTGAGGTAACTTATCCTAACTGTATTTTCTATGGAAGTATTTGGGTTTTGGCATGAACTTGTCAGGTACCATACGTCTATGAGCTGTTGATTAATTAGGGATCACCCTTATATTTACTACCAGATGTTTTCTGCTTCAAAAGGGAAATTACATTTCCAGGTATTTGAACAGCTGCATCATGTGCAAAATTGACATGGTTTAACATAGTATGCACCTGCCTTGGAATTTGGGTGTTCTTCAGTGGAAAAACATGAACTAGTTTCATATGTATAAAATGTATGAGGCCACTAACGATCGTCACACATATATAAAACCACAATGGAAGCAGAGTGATGAAAAGGTTGTCCTAAGAATTGAAGAAAAAATTAAAAATTGCTCCTCTCTGCGGTTAGTAGGGAAGATTTATGTGTGCCATGGGAATATCTGGCTTTTAATTCATGTCAGGAGGTAGCTCTACGGTGTCAGAGACAGTTTCTGTACAAAGAATGCCCCAGTTCATAGGTGCTCCCTGGCATTGGGGAGTGTACAGTTCCTGCCAAATGCTATAAAATGCTGCAAAGGTTGAAAAAAAAGTCCTAACCCACACCAAAATAGCTCGCAGCATTTCGATGTTATGGATTCAGAGGAGGTTGGTGATTTTTCTGTGTCATTGAGCCATGGTGCAAATTGGCACTATTGCGTGCGGGTGTTTTGGGCTGATGGGTGTAGTCTAGGCTGCCCCCTCTGTGGTGTCTCATGAACAAGTTCCACATTATTATTAATATTCTTGCTGATGAAGATAAGCATAACTGAATATAACCTTTAGTCAAAACCAGATGAATTAGCTTTTGTTTTCTATGTTTATCAATTGTATGTTTTTGATGTATCTGCCTGATAAATTTGAAGTAATTGTACTTAAGAGGTGTTTCTATTTCATAGTTAATCACAAGATTTCTAAATATGTTCGTTATAAAGCACATTATAATCATGAGACACACATGTTATCTTTTTTTCCCTCCAACACACACAGGTTGCTGGAAAAAAGGAATGTGCAATGGAGATTGTTAATATGGAAGTATCCTAAGAAATGGCATACCATTTGAGAAAATAAACACACTAGATTTTGGCACAAAGGATAATTAATTTTACCATGAATTAATGGAGACAGGTAAGCTGAAAATCACTTTTCCTTCTATTCTTTCGTTCATTAATATCGCGTTTCTACTAAGGTCTGCTCTTATTTTCTTTCCAAACTTTATTCTTGGCTGTTCATCTGTAACTTTTCATAGAATCATATGTGGTTATGTACGACAAAAAAATGTTCCAAGAGGTGATTGGTAATCAATTTTTAGGACAGGTCTCAAACTCACTTTTAAATGGGTAACCATAGGCTCTCCATTGGTAGCAGAAGTAAATGATAGGGAATGGCTTTCTTGGGACTCCTCAGTTACTCTTGTAGCCATGTTTTTTTGTGCTTAAAGCATATTCTGGATCTGAATTCCAGTTGCATCAATAACGAAGAAAGCGTTTGGAAACCTCTTGTATGGTCTCTTCTTCTTTCTGACTTCTGCAGCTTCATAAAGTAATTAAAGGAAGCCAAGGCTGTATGCTGTTAGAGCTCCAAGCTAAAGAGAATAAGCATTAAGCAACATAGAATGAATTTTTAAAAGGCACAGCCTCCTTCCTTTTTATCATGTTAGTATCAGAAATATACTCCTAAATAGAGTGTGTCAGGGTAGTGGTAGCTCAAGCATCTCTGTGGCAGAAAGGGCACTCTGGTACCAGAGTCTGGAAATTCTGTGAAGTAACAGAATCACAGCAAACTAACATCAAACACCGTCAGAGCAATAGATGCCATTTTCTTCTGAAGTTGATTATATTATCTAGGAAGCATAAGTATTGGTCATTAGTATTCAGAAAAGCCTGCATGCAGTCCGAGGGGTGTGGGGAGCAGCAAGCCTGGAGCCTTTTGGTAGAACATCAAAGTCAGTCGATGTGAGCACAGTCTTTTATATTGTATTTGTACAGAGGAAGACTGAATCATGAGAGAAATGTAGAGTACGGAAGATCTTTCAGTACCATGGGCCTGATTTTTCACTTCTTTGCATCTTTGTGATTGGGAAAAGTGAATTCTGATGGCTACCAGAACTGAAGTGGGCCTTTTTACATTTCACTTTTCAGATAATTAAATGGATTTTCAAACCTTTCGGTGGGGAAGAATCAGTTCTAATGATGTTTTTCCTTGTACTAGTGTGTTCCGGGATTTTTTTCCTACATGTGAGTATTCTCACTTAATGTGAGAATTATTTTGAGCTGTGAGTTCCACAACCATCCAGGTCTTGGAAAAGCTTTCCAGAAAAAAACTGATAAATATTGAAAAAAAATATATAAGATCATCAGGGGTTTTTCTATTATCTTTTTTTTCTCCCCAAAGAAAAGCAATCTGTAAAAACCCCTTATTCTTCTATTCTTCTAAAGAATAATTTGTTTCCTTTTTGGTATTTTTCAAATGGGTGGAAAATCATTTTACAGAAGGGCAGTTTTTAGTGTGCCTTATAGTTGAATGGGACCAACTTCAGTGGTAAGACTATTAGAAAGTAACGGGCGATGATGAATGTAACGTAATTAAGACAATGAGTTTAGAGAGGTGGTTTATGAAAGTTTTTGGTGTGTCAATGCAGTACAAGTGGAGAACTTTCAAAGATGGTGATGAGCTAAATTTGAATAAATTTGCACTGGTTAGTATCAATTTGGAGGCAAATTGAAGAAAGATAGAAATTCTAAATGAATTTCTAAAACTAATAAATGTGAAAACATGATGGATGTAGACTTGTCTGATTTTATATTTATTTTCTCTCTCTCTCCCTCCTAGGAAAAAATAGTTAAAACTAACTTTGTACTATAGGTATCCATTCTGTTACTGCTACTTGTCTTTGAGAATTCCTATCTCCAAGCTGTGTACCACCTGCGGGGTGGAATTCTCCCCATTTATTTATATATGTCTTGCAGCTTCAGGGTTGTTTTTTTTTAAATACTATTTACTGACAGGTCCCACCAGGAATTTTTTTGACTAATATATAAAATTCCTCAAATTATATTTCTGGGTATAGATAATACCACTGTCAGTTTTAGAGAAATATTTTTTAAAAGTACATTTTAGGATTGCTTGCTTATACTGCAGAGGAGAATTGTTGTGCACGGATTAACATTAACATTCTGTAAAAGTCTGCTTGAAATACAGGGTATGTGCATTGCTTGAGAAAGCACAAGTACCAGATGTGGTGTTTGGATCATCTGGCTGCCCATACTATTCTCTTTGGGATAAAATGAGAAATCCCCAGGCTTGTGT